TTCTCTCTGTGCTGTCTCAAGTGCTGATATAGATTGGTCGTGTTGCCGCGGGACGTGGCGACTTTAACTTTTAAACTTTTACACAGCACGTCTTTCTGTTCAACGTCGCCGTACCTGAATCCAAAGTATCGCCATGTAATAGACGTTGCGTTTTTTTTGCCACCAACTCAGCCTGTTCACGGTCGTGCTCATGCTTTTCTTCAGCGTCTGTGTTGGTCACTGCTGCTCGCTGGCTGGTCACCTGACCATACGTGCTGCACACACCAGGATAGCTTGTGGGCGTGATGTCAACAAACTCTGTGGTTATGTCATCGCACAGCCTGACATCATGATTGCGATTAGATTAATCGTGCAGCACTACTCACTTTAAAAGCAGCAGACTGTGATTGATGACCAGTTTGCGTATCTGAAATACAGGGGCCGATTGCACCAACTGGTCCACACCTGGTCGTAACTCCTAAGACAGTCTTTGTTAAGACCAGTCTTAAGGAGTGGACTTGCGCCTGTTGCACCAACAGGGCTTACGCCTGGTCTTAGCTACGCCAGTTTTAGCTGTGCATGTCCATGTGAATGCCCCCGAAATGCCGCATGCAGTCTGCCTAGAGGAGCGCGGTGACGTCAAATGATGCGCTGCTGAATCACCCTGTGTGCTTGACAGTTGACAGCCCCTCTCATCTGTGTTGACAGTTTATTTACAGTTTAAGATTTGAAGAAAACATGAAGGATCAACGAAAAAGAAAGGGTAACTTTACCGACATTGAAATTATAAAATTAATCGAGCTGTACAGCCAGCACAGAGACATGGTGTCAACACGTCATCACAATAAGAAGAAACAGTCGGTATGGGCTAGGGATGCACCGAATATTCAGTAACCGAATATATTCGGCCTAATCTTGCAAAAAAACACACATTCGGTATTCGGTGGAATAAGTTAAAAGCAAGGCCAAATAATAGCGGCATGTTTTGATAACGCAATCAAACAACGTGCCGTGATGGGCGGAGTAAAATGTCGGTAGTGTGGCGATCCGTCCATCACGGCACTCGCATTTGCGACTAAAAATAGTTTTGAGCGAGCAAAATAGGCTTAAATCATTCAGCACTCTGTGCGAGCAGCCTACAGATTTCAACCAGCAGCAGAAACGAAAGGCGAATCCCACCGATTGTGGGTTGAACGGGGGTCACAGACACAGACTAATGTATTCCTGTCAAATACGGCGGCCATCGGCTTACCGGTGACGGAGACGTCGGCTCCAATAATATCCTCTTCTTGGTGTCATGACTGCCCAGAAGTACCTGAACAGCCGAGCCAGCCGAACACAGGTATGTGACGTGTCAGAGGAGAAACGAGCCGTTCACGGCCCACAAACCTCACCGCACTTTAGGGACTGTTCTTTACTTATGAAGGGACTGTTCTTTACTTGTCAGGGGAGGAGGGTGGCTGGTTGATTCTTATTTTATTTGTTTATTTTATTTTGATCCCCCCTATGTTAATCACTCATTGATGCTGTTTTTGCAGTATGAATAAGTCAATAAGTAATTTATTCCATTGAAATATCATTGATGTATTATAGAAAAGTGATTTATCTTTTTATAAATGACAAAAGGCACATCTGCCTCATTTTTGCTGTGGTATCGTGATACTACTCAGAACCGTGATATTTTCATTGGTATCGTACTGTGGGTCCCAATTTTGGTACCGTGACAACACTAATCTGGAGGGGGTTCATCTGCAAAAACTAATGAAAAACTAAACAATGATATTCGGTATTCGGCCAAGCGTTTAATAATATTTGGCTTTGGCCACAAATTTTCATTTCAGTGCATCCCTAGTATGGGCAGAGATAACGGGGCACATCAGTGTGTGTTCAGACTCTGGCTGCCTTCATACAGAGGCTGACATGAGGAAGACGTGGAAAGATCTCTTCAGCAAGGCAAAAAAAATGTCTCCTCCAAAAAAAAAAAAATCACCCAACTGGCGGGGGTCCTCCCCGAAAACCTCAGTTAACAGTGACATCATTGTTGACCTATTTGGGGAGAATTCCCCTGCCCCGCAATAAGCAACTGTAAGGCTGGTGGTAGTGCTGTGTTGCGGCGCAACACAAACTGTAAATTCGGTGACAGCTCTTCAGTGAGTTCAAACAGATCTCTCCTACCCAATCGAAACCTCTCAATCAGCTCCTCGTCATTATATACGTCCAATGGATTGCTTCTGTCACTAATTACCCTCTCCTGTCTGAATGCCCGCTCGTTGTACGGACGGTGGATGAGATGTGAGCGCAGAGAGCACAGCTTGATAATGACCTTACACCTGCTCTTGACTAGGCCTAAGATTTACGCCCGGTCTTAGTGAGAAGAAGGCTTAAGCCTAGATGGTCCAACCAGCACAACTGTTAGGTCGGACCTAGAACACCAAGTTACAGCCGACTTAGCTTAAGACCAGGCGTAAGCCCTGTTGGTGCAACCGGCCCCTGATGTCTTTCCTACATGTTCCTTCCACTTTTCTCGTGTGTGACAGGAAACAACCAAAGGTGCTAAAAGCAGCATGAAGAACAGTACAAGCAGCGGCGGTGGTGGTAGCGGCGGCAGCGGGGGGAAAGATGCTGCTGTTGCTGCGGAGAACTCAGACGAGGTGAGAGTTTAAATATAAAACACACATGATGGAGTTCAGCTGTCATGTGTTGTGTCTGCAGGGAGGCAATGAGACACTGCTGCCACTGTTCACTACAGCACACACACACACACACACACACAGCTGTGCACAGAAGACATCTCACTGTAAAGAAACAAACGACACCTGAGAGGATCAGTAAAGTTTAAAATCAGAGTTTGACCGATACTGATTATTGGAGATCAATATTTCAGACTCCAGTTTATCAGCAGGACGCATTTCATCTACAAAGTGATTTGTTAACCCTATGGGCCCAAACGACAC